TCTTTTTTGCCAGCTTTGCCTTAGTTAAATTCTCTGACCTTCACCATGAGACTACACAAATGCACAAGAAAACATTGTGTGGGATGGGCACAAGTGTCTAGATGCAGAAGGTGTTATTTTAGGCAGAGGTAGTGAAAGATTACGGTGTGTTAGTGTCGAGGGAAGTAAAACATGAAGGGATGAGGCAGTTTCAGTCCTTTAAACCTCAGAAGACTTGGTGAACTGTAGAGTTCTGGGATCATCTGATGAAAAAGCAAAATATTAACGAGGTTGATGATCAAAATACTTTCTTCTGTAGCAGTCTGACTTGTTTATGGCCTGCAGTAAATCTGGAGAGGTTCCCAGAAAGTCATTGAATGGGAACATTAGATACATTAAACAACTGATAATAGTTCTTCAGAATGATGAAAACTGAGTATTTTTCTTAAACAAGAAAAAAGACCACTGACTTTTGAGAGAAGCTGGTCGTTGCTGCGCACGGATGGTCTCGCTGCACTCCACAGCAGCTCTGTCAGGATGCTGCTGCTGAATTCCAGCAAGCCAGTTTTGTGGCTCTGCAGGCACGAGGGATGAAACCTGATGGTAGACTCTGGTCTTCTGATCTCTTCTAAAGCTTTCGTGATCAGCCTTTCTGTATGTCTTTGAGATAGCTGTATGCTTATTACCTGTGATATCTTTACCTCCAGCAGAGTTTTTAAAATATAAGGATTTCTTCTAAGCTAAAATTAGTGGATCTCTTCTCCTACTTTGTAGTCATTTATTTTCAGGATAGAAGGAAGCACTAATTTATTTCATGTAGGTCAATGTAGAGTTGCGATATAGTAGTTGCTTTTCCTTGATTCCAACTTAGATTGGCAATTAAATCAAATGATAACAAGGCCTACCATGTAATTTCACTGCTCCATTGACTTTCTTGGGAATTACAAAGGACTAGGACAACTGTGGTAATTGAAATAACTTCTGTGTCACAAACCCCCTAGAATGAGCTGTTAAACCTGCTCTACTACTCTCCTAAGCAATGATCCAGATACACCATTGTTCAGGCTGAGTGCACTAAATTGAGAGCTGTTGGAAAAATTAAATACCTTTTTTAATGGTAGTGGTTCTGCTTGTCAGAGCTCATCTAAATCAGTGCTCTGCTGAAAATTAACTTTTTTTGCAGTAGGATATTTTATTAAAGTGCCTGGTGTAGTGTCTGATATCTTCAGTACTGTGTTGCTGATAGACTGTCAACTGTCTGAGGAGATGGCGGTGAAAATTATCTATACTTATCTGCATATTTTGCTTTTTTTTTTTATGAAAGCAGATCCTGCACTATCAGCTTGCAAACACAGCTGGCCTTTTCTAAGTTACGTGACTCAGGCTGCCAAAGCACTTACTATGTTTATTAGCACTTGTATTTTGATTTTTAAACTGGGCTTTTTGGAGTGGCTGTTTTGGTTGCAGAGCATCTCATCTGTGGGGAACCATTCCTTGTGATGAAGATTTCTTGATACTTTTATGGAAAGAGCAAATAGCTAAAACTTGTCTCTAATGAGAATAGACCACTCTT